GCTGCTCGCTGAGGTGGGTGCTCAGGCGAAAAGCCGACGACAGTGAGAGTCCCTGTGCGAGTTTTAAACGCGCGCGCCCGCTGATGCATGGCCTTTTTGATTGCTGCCGATGCGCGCTGCGTCAGCGCCGCGGCAAGGAAAGCGGCGACAAGCCTGTCCTCGTGCATTTTTTTCGCGCTGCGCGTGCGCTGGGCTCCACGACAAACTACAGGCTGTGCTGTACAGCAACTTTACGGTTTCCCCGCATCCCTCTCTGCTCCGAGAGACGACGCTGGCACGTGAAGCGAACGGCTAAGCGCGCCGTTTGGACTGGCCGTGGCTCGGAGGTGAGAGGCCTCTGCGCCCGCGGCGTTGGCCTGACGCTGTGCGCACGTCGGCGCCTCGTTGTCGACTGCGGCCTGCCGCGCTCCTGGAGCTGAAAAAAGAAACATTACTTTCATGGATGCCGTTCGGCCTCGTTTGAGCCTTCCACCTCCTCCTCCTCCCCCTCCTCTCTCCCTGTTCCTCCCTCCTTCCTTCCCCCGAGCGCGAAAAGCCAGGCCCGCCCTCCCCTCTCCGCCGCCTGCGCGCTCTCCCCCCTTCCCCCCCCCCTCCCCCGCCCCCCTGTCTTCCTCCGCCCCGCTCCTTTTGGCGGGGGGCTTCCAAAAAAGAAGATTCAGAGTTAAAAGCTCGAAGTCCGAAGTTCGAAGTTCGAACTCCGAACTTCGAAATTCGCACTTCGAAATTCGAACTTGGAACCTCGTCGGTTCGAGGCCCTCCTGGGGGGTGCGTGTTTGAAACTTCTACCTTTGGGGCCACCCCCTCCTCCCCTTCCGTGCCCCTTCCCCTTCTTGCCACTCCCCCTCCCCCCTCTTGCCCTCCTGCTCGCCCCCGACGTGGACGCGCCGAGGCGCAGAAACAATGCCAACAGCAAGCGCGCCTATGCGTGAGCCCCCTTCATGTGCGGTCGTGGGAACGACTACTGATGCGGATCGGTACAACGTCGTTGTTAAGACGTAAAGGAATAATCTCATCGATTGGTTCGCTTCCCAATGCGTTTGGTGTCAGCCGTTGGTGCATTAAGAAAAAATGGCCCCTTCGCGCGCGTGTTTGCCCCATTGCGCGTTGGGGTTGCGCGGGTGTCAGAAAACGTCAACAGAAGTGCACTTGTGCTTGCGCAACGTAATCTTTCCGAGTGAAAAACACACGCGTGTTCTAGCGTTTACACATTTGCACGCACGTTGCAAAGAATATGTGCCGCGTGTTTCCGTGGCCCCTGAGGTCATGCCACAGCGTTAAGCGAATAGACAGAGCCCCCCCGAGCGACAGGCGACCGTGCATGAGTAGGTCCATGAAACGGTACGCACAGAATACTGCGCGGGATAGCATTCCAAAAAATGCGGAACACCTTCCCGAACCAGTGGAACCTGGGTACGTTTTAAGGTGGGTATGTTTTCCCGGCCCGTTGCCCCCGCCCAACCTAGGTAGGGCCTAGGATCGGCCTGGCCAGGATCAAGGATCGGTGTAGGTGCACAGTTGGCGCTCTCCGACCAGCGCTGTGCGCCCTCGAGCCCCTGCTCAGCGAGGAACTCGCTGATGGCGACGCGCACGACGAGGTGGCGGCCCTGGTGGGCCGGGTGCAAGTCGGTCACGGAGCTCGGGATCCGCCAAATCGCCCAAGAAGGGCAGGGCCCCGACGCATACACCGCGCCGTTTTGGTCGGCCCAGAAGTTCGGCGCATTGGAAGCCCCGCCCCCCGCATCCACGGGAGGGGGGGCGTCTATGCACCAAACTCCAAACCCTGGTGGCGGACCAAGACGGCGCGGTTATACGTCGGGGCCCTCCCAGCGTCGCCGCCGCCGCCGTCGCCAAGCGCGGGCGGCGCCGCGGCCGGGGCGGCCGCCGCCGCGCCGGCAGCCGCTGGGGCCGGCAGCGGGCCGCGGCGCGGGGCGCTCGCCGCCGGCGGCGCCGCGGCCGGGGCGGCCGCCGCCGCGCCGGCAGCCGCTGGGGCCGGCAGCCGGCCGCGGCGCGGGGCGCTCGCCGCCGGGGCGCCCGGCGGCGGGGCGGCGGCGGCGGGGCGGCGGCGGGCCGGCATCGCCGCCGAGGGAGAGGTGCACCTCATGGGAGGGCACTGCGAGGATAGGAGAGGAGAGGAGGGGGAGGAGGGCGCGGGGGGAACGGAGGGAAGGAGGGGAGAGGAGAGGAGGGAGAGGAGAGAAGGAATGGAGGGAGGGAGAGGAGGGGAGAGGAGGGAGGGCGAGGAAGGGGGGGAGGAAGGAAGAGATGAGGGGAGAGCGGAGGCCGGACACCGCTGCTCAGGGGCCAAAATGGCTATAGGGAGAAGAGGGCGATGAGCGCGATGGGGGGCGATGATGGGGCGATGAGGGCGGTCGAGGGCCCGTAAGTTCGCGCTTCGCGCTGCGCGGAGCGCGAAACGCGAATAACTTCGCGCTCTCGCGCCGCCCCCCCCCCCTCCCCAAGGGGGAGAAGAGGAGGGCGAGGGGGGGGAGGAGGAAGGAGCCAAACTCCCTTCCGCCGCCGAGCTCCCTGCTGCTCCTTCTTCCTGCCGCCGAGCTCCCTTCCTCCTCTTCCTCCTCCTCCTCCTCCTCCTCCTCCTCCTCCTCCTCCTCCTCCTGCTATTCATTATGCTGCTGCTCCGCATCGTCGTCGCCGTCGCCATCGTCATCCAGCATCGTCGTCATCATCGTCCAGCTCCCGCATCGTCGTCATCGTCATCCATCGTCGTCATCGTCATCGTCATTCAGATCCCCCCTCCCGCCTCGTCGTCATCGCCATCCATCTGCCCGCCTCTTCCTCCAAACCACCATCGTCATTCATCTTCCCCCCCCGGCGGGTTCGGTCCTCCGCCGTCGCGTCCGCCGCGGCCAGCACCATGGGCCATGCGGCGGCCGCGGCGGACGCGGAAGGGAGGGAGAGGAGCCAGGGAAGAGCGCGGAAGGGAGGGAAAGGAGGGAGAGGGAAGAGCGAGGGAGAGGAGGGGAGGGACAAGAGGGAGAGGGAAGAAGGAGGGAGAGGAGGGGAGGGAGGGAGGAAGGAGATGAGGGGAGAGCCCGGCCTCCGCCGTGAACCACAGCCAAAGCGGCTGTCGGCCCCCCCATCGTCGTCGTCGTCGTCCGTGTCGTCGCGTCGTGGTCGGCGCCGCCGCCCAGGGGTCAATCCTGGCCAGTGTTTCGAGCAGCGTCCAGCCGCGGCGGCGAGCAGCATTCCTCCTCCCCCTTCCCTTTTCGCCCCCATTAGCCTCCCTTTTCCCTCCCTTTCGAGCAGCGGCCGATAATTCGAGCAACATTCCTCCTCCCTCTTCCCTTTTTCTCTCCCCTCTCCTCCCTCCTCCCTCCTCTCTCCGCTTCTTCTCTCCTCTCTCCCTCCTCGTCCTTCCCACGCCTCCCTCCCCTCTCACCCCTCCTTCTCTATTTTCTAGTTCTTCTTTCACCCTTCCCTCTCTTTTTCTAAATTCCCCCTATTTCCGCCTGTCAAAGCCCCACCGCACCCGCAAAGAGAAAGACCCCCCCAAAAAAGGGTGCGATCGAAGACAAAAAGGGCGGGTATCACATGAGTGGGGCATACGTGTTGGATGGCACGCGGAAAATGTTGCTGGCGGCCAATCACGTTAATTACCTGAGCCCATCTGGGGGGACAATATTTGGTCAACCGCTTCTCCTATTTATTGTATATGTGGTGTTTTTGGTCGCGGCTCGCTGGGTTGACGCTAGTGGCCCCAACAAGGCCTGGGTGCACAGGAGGGGCGCTGGAGGAGCGGCCACGGGAGGACTAGGAGGCAACTGCTGGGAGGTTTTCGTCGGAAAGATTGAGGATTGAGCCCCATTTGGGAGCTGTTACGCCAGAGTGGGCCTCGGGTTAATCGGGGTCACGCCGGATTAAGCGGGATTAAGTAAGCCGGATTTCGGACCAGGGCGAAAACAGAAGTTGACCTCACAGGAGTTGCATCCGAACCATTCGGGATCCAAACTGTTCCTTCTCTCAGCGTCTTGGCTGCGGCGGTCGGGGGAATTCATCGCCCAACGCGGCAAAAAGAACGGGTGTACCAGCGCGGAACACGCGCCCAATCGGAAGCGTCGGCAACCGCGGCAGCCTCCGAGAGAGATATCGTGCCGCTCGCCCTCTCAACCTCAAGGGCACTGGCGGATAGACGATCTTGGACCGCACTGTGCCAACGCAGTGCCCCTGCATCTGCCTGCACCTGCGAGAACGGCGCACGAACACCGCACCATGTCTGGACTCCCGTCGGGCCCCGCTGGAACGCGGCATGCTGTATGGCTCGTCGGCTCCAGGCCGCCAGGAAAACTGCAAACCGCACGTGCCGCTCCTGGGTCGAGGCTCGACGACGCCTTGGGAGACGCCGACGCCTCGGTCGCCCGCGGATGCATCTGAGCATCGTTTAACCGATCCCCATCCCAACCAGCGTGGGCTGGGCTCCATTTGCCGATCTCCCATCCCCACCAGCATGGGGATATAGGCCGTTCCCTTCGGATTTCGAGGGGTGTGTCCCCAACTGGGGTGGTAATTTGGTGGGGGTCTCGAAGGGGATGAGGATGGGAATGGGGGTCGGCTAAACGATTCCGAGCATCTGCGCGGGCCGCTGAAGCCGCCGAGCGGCCACCACGTCCGCAGCGACCGCCGCCGCAGCCTGCCGCGCGCGCCGTGCCGCAAGGGGTCGCCATCCCAGCAGTCCGCACGGGCGCCCGAGCCGGGAGCGCGCGCGAGCAGCCGGAGCGGATGCGGATACGGAGGCCGAGGAGGGATGCACGCAGAACAGAGCGTGGCGAGGGGGCGGAAAGTTGGACATGAGGAGAGGGAGGAGGAGTGGGAGGCAATGAGGAGGTTGGAGAGGAAGGGGAGGAGGAGCAGGAGGAGGAAGATCAGGGCGAGGAAGATGCGGAGGAGGAGGAGGGAGGCGTGATCCTCCTCCTCCCCTCCTCCTCCTCCTCGGAGCGGCGCGTAGCGCGTGGCGCCGCGCCCGCTAATGCGCGGCCGGGGGCCACCAACCGCCACAGGTCGATCAGGTAGGTCACCGCTGGGACCTGCCAGGGAGGGGGGGAACTCGCGCCGGGGGGGCCCGCCAGCGCGGTCAGCGGCGCGAGTCCGAACGCGGCGAAAGGGCTCCGGCCCCAAGGCAGCCTCAATACCTCTCCTACGCTTCTTACAGTTATTACCGTAAGTGATGAGGTGCCAAGGCGCCGATGACGGGCCCCATGGCGATTGTCAAGGAGACCAGCCTCCACCATTTTTGCCCCTATTCCATTACGAACCATGAGCGGCGGAATGGCGAACAATATGGCCCGCAGACACCGATGCCGCTCTGGACTGTGTGCCTGCAACGCCAGAGCACTTGGCGCAGAACGGCTAGGAGGCGGAGAAGGCGGAGGCAGACGACGCTGAAGAGTAGGTGCCAGAGAAGTCGGGGGGGCAATGGGGGACGAGGAAGACAAGGAGGGACGAGAAGGAGCGGAGAAGGGGTCGTCATAATAGCGCGACATGGGGGTGCACAGTGGCTTCGACCGAAGTGCATGCGGGCCACTGGAAGGCCAAACATGAAGGGAACGTGAGACGCGGCAGCGTGTATGTAGTATAGAATGCAACCTGCTATAATCCATCGAATCAGAAGCTGCTACAAGCCGGAGCTTCACGGAGAAGCATAGGGGAAAGAGGGAGCGAGAGGGGGGGAGAAAGGGGCCTCTCCAAACTTCACCCATGGGAGAGGGGGACATCTCGATCAATTGTTTGGGGAGGGTCCTACTTGTCTCCCTCCTCCTGCCCCCAGCCATTGCCCATCCCTCTTCACTATCCCCTCCTCCTCCTCCTCCTCCGACTCATCCCCCAACTTCCCCTTCTCTGGCTCCATCCTTGCCTTATAGATAACTCATCCCTGCCGCACTCCCCGACGTGTCGGAATGGCGGGGCCGTAGATTTCGCCAACACTTCCTCACCACTTATGCTCCTGAAGCTTGGGAATTGCACCAGCTTCACGGATGGAGGGCGGGGAAGGGTTCGCAAGAAGCTCTCGCTTCAGCGCCGCGCGCATTCGTCTTTACAGCTTGCAGCAGTTCCAAGGACGAGCACATGTCGATTTCGAAAAGGTGTTCTTGCTTAGTCCCTCGCAGTCCCATGCACTCATGCACGGATGGAAGATTGATCCTTTCGAAACTGTGACCCTCGATTAAAAATCCGCAGCAGGACCCTAAACGGAAGCCAGCGCGCTGGCTACACTCAGAGGAGTTGGGGTTATTCTTCGACAAAGGGATCTCGCTGGACCGTCTGTGGAACTGTATGATCATACGGTGCCCCGACACAAAAGTGTCCACACCCATTGCGGTAAGGTGCTGCAGCACTGTAACAGCCACAACTGCGCAATGCCTCTGCTTCGCACCCCTCTCCCCTAAACACAAAAGTGAAGTGCCCGCATTTGGTCCCTGGCCTTTGGCCTACCTCCCAACCCCGTCAACTCTGAAAGTGGGGCAGGGAAGGTATTCATTTGGGTCCGACTTGCTTTGATGAGTAAAGGTATTTGCGAGACACGTGTGGACACGTTAGTCCCCCCACCGTACCTCTTCGCATTCCCGATCGCGCGCGAGAAAAGCATGCAAGGCAGCCCCTTTTCAGAACCAGGCTCTCGCATGAACGGCAGGCGAACTGGGCGCAGGTTGTCCAAAGGGGGCCCTGTGATGCAATGCGAAGGCGCGCATGTAAGGACTCGTGGGGCGGGATCATGACACGGGAGGGTGCGTTGCAGCACCGCTGCTGCATCTTGGGTGTGCTCTGGTTCTTCATATTTGTGTTCAAAGTCTGTTGTCTCTGGTCCTTCATCCCTTCCTCCTCCTTCTCCTCCCCTTACCCAACCTGGTCGGCTGTCCCTCCTCCTCCTCTTCCTCCCGCTCCCTCCTCCCGAGCTGTGTGCGCGAGGTGCGGCGCGAGACCAGGAAGATGATCACGATCGGATTGATCGCCAGCACGAGCTCGAAGGGGGCGTCCTCGCCGAACTGGCGCAAGAAGTACCTCGCGGGCGACTCCCGAGGTGGGAAGCTGGGGCTCGGCTCTGTGCTCGTGCTCCAACGCCTTCGCGTCCTCCTGCTGCGCTGCCACATCGAGATGCAGTGGAGGTCCGTCCACTAGAAACCTTCCACAAGAAACTCAACCGTGAGACCCGTGGACATCCATCGATGTATTTGGGCGCCCGAGTTATCCGGGGTAACTCGGGTCCGGGGTAACTCGGGTTTGGATTCCCGAAAAAGGAACCCGAGTTAGCCCTGACCCGAGATACCCCTGATGATGTGGGGCTCTGGGCGCCCGAGTTATCCGGGGTAACTCGGGTCCGGGGTAAGTCGGGTTTGGATTCCCGAAAGACGAACCCGAGTTATCCCTGACCCGAGTTACCCCTGATGATTCGGGGCTCTGATGTATGGCGTGGACACGTCGCGCTTTCCACGGCAAAACCATCGAAACCCAAGAAACCCAGGGCACCCTGGAGGCAGGCAGGGTGCTTCTTGGCACGGGCCCCCGCTGTGTACCGACATCCCGCCACGTGTCTGGGCACGGGGAGCCTGGGTCACGAGTCTGCTCCCCGACGCAGAGGGGAGGAGCGGCCGACAGCCAGAGTCCCTCCTGATCCCGAGGCCGTCCTCTCGTTTCGGCGCCTTGGCTGCGTCAGGCCAAGCTCTCTGCTCGTTGTCTCTCCCCCCCTCGCCTTACCCTCCTGCTGCCCCGCCACATGAGTCATCTCTGCGTATGCATGCCGGAGCCCAGGAGCAGAGGGAGGGCGAGAGAACGAGAGGCAGAGATCGAGCAATGGCGCCACCGTGCCGCGAGGCACGGGGCGAAGTGTGCTCGGTGCCCCTCCGCGCTCCCTGCACGGAGGACCGCACACTCGCCTGCGGGAGGCGGGGCCCAGCTCCCCGGCGCACGGACCTCCGAAAGGGTGCGCCGCGCGACTCTCCCGGGGGGCCTCGAGCGCGTGGCTCGCTCGGCCGTGCACCTCCGACGTGCGCGCGAGCGCGCCCGTGGGCTCGCTCTGGAACGCCCTCAAGGGAGCCTCTCGGCCGGTCTCGGGAGCCCTCGGGGCCGGCCCTATCGGTCAAACCAAACGCTCAGATCCCTCGGGCTTACAGCATGGGTGTAGCATGATCGCTTGCCAGAGAGAGAGAGAGAAAGAGAGAGAGAGAGAGAGACAGGAAATAGGGAGCCCACAAAAACACGTAAACGCCCAGCCGCGTACGTGAACACGGCCCCCCAGCCCGCGAGACCAGCCTCGTTTCACGAACGTTCGGGCACGGCGTACTCTCGAAACCAACGTGGACTCATGTTCATATACGCCCTTGTTTCGCTTCTGAGAGGGAAAGAAAAAGAGAGAGAGAGAGAGAGAGAGAAAGAGAAGAGAGCGGGAAGCCGCGGTCCCCGGCATCACCCATCATGACCGCAGCGTGGCACAACCTCTCTCCCTGCTCCTCCTGCGAACACTCGGCGGCGACCGAGGGGGGGGAAGAGCGACAGAGAAGGCCCTCTCAGAAGGCGGCGGGACTCCTCAGAAGCGCTCTGGCCCTCTGGGAAATTGCCGGTGTCTTCGGGGGAGGCTTAGTAGAACATTTCTCAGACGGCCGGGGGACGTCCGAGCCTCCTGAGGAGGCCATCTCCTTCTCACTTCCCCCCGGGGCTCGCAGCCGAAAGAAGGAATCCCCTCGGAAGCCTCGTGCCCCACCCCTGCCCGTGGGCGACACACATACATCCGCACCCGCGGCTTCGCGGGCCAAGCCCCCGAGCCGCGACCCCGCGGAAGCGGGGCGTGTTTCCGCGGATGCCCCGCGCAGAACGCGTGCAACATCGCGCCCGGGAGTCCAAACCGCCAGGTCGCGGATACGGTTACGCTCGCCGCTCTGACCTGAGAATCGTATATCCGGCCCCCATCCCCAGCGGCGTGGCCTGGGCCCCACTGGCCGATTTAACCCCCTAGATGCGGATACAGGCGGTTCCCTTCGGGTTTCGAGGGGTGCATCCCCAACTGGGGAGGTAATTTTCTGGGGTCTCGAAGGGGATGGGGATGGGGATGGGGATCGGATAAACGATACCGATGACCTGCACCCATTCGCAAGCCGCCGAGGCGGTCCCCCCGTCCCAGGCAAGTGCTGTCTTTGAGGCCGTCCTCCGAAGCATCAGCGCCGGCAAACGCCTGGGCCTGGCAGGTGCCGACGGGCGAGGGCCAGGACGGGAGACCTCGGCCCGAGGATGCCCACTGCATGCAACGGAGCAGCGTAAGGGAAGAGGTGGAGGTCGGAGGAGGAGAGGAGGAGGAGGAGGAGGAGGAGGAGGAGGAGGAGGAGGAGGAGGAGGATACGAGGGGGAGATGGGAGACTGAGGGGGAGCAGTGGGAAGAGGAGCGCGATGGGGATCTAGCTTCGTCTCGGGTCAGTTTCGCCTGGGGGTTCAAGGGCGTGTGCCTGCGATCGAGCACATCCTCACCAAGGGGGAGTCCATCTGAGCAATTGCAGGTTGGGGCGGCAAGAGGGGGCGAGGAGAAGCTAATTCCCAGTGGGGTGGAGCAAACCACGGAGCGGGAGAGCACGCTCAAGAAGAGCGCTTGGTATCCAGCCGGGGCACTTGGGGAACGTCACGTTCATGTGGTGGAAGTTCATCATGACGCCCAGAAACCTGGGACAGGGGCAAACAGAATCCCACCAGCCCTTTGGGCGTGAGTGGTTTAGAGAGCCCGCTCTGTCCTCAACCCCCCTTCTTCCCCTTCGGGGAGGGGGCCTGGAGAGGGCGCCCCGCGGGTCGTCAGGGGGGTCCATTTCGACTCCTGGGAGGGCTCAAAAACGACGACCTTCACGAGGATTCTGGCCCCGACGGGGGGACGGAGATAAGTCCCTCTCCTCTTCTTTGAAGCCAAAATCCTTGATTTCACTACGGTTTTGGCCCCATTTTGGCCTCCTGAGGGGGCCGCGCTCATCTTCCTTCATAGCAAACTCATTGATTTTACGAAGGTGTTGGGTTCATTTTGTTCTTCTCAGGGGGCAGCGCTCACTTGCGCTTCTGAGGAGGTCGCAAGAGGCCCCAAGATGGCCCCAAGAGGCCCCCAGGAGCCTCCCAAGAGGCCTCCAAGAGGCCCCCAAGAGGCCCCCAAGAGGCCCCAAGAGGCCCCCAAGAGGCGGCCCCCAGAGGCCCCACGAGGCCCCCAAGAGGCCCGCAAGAGGCCCCCAAGAGGCCCCCAAGAGGCCCCAAGAGGCTCCAAGAGGCCCCCAAGAGGCCCCACGAGGAGCCCGAACGACTCACCCCAGGACGAGGGGCCCCAACGACTCACACCACGAGGAGCCCGAACGACTCGCACACAAGGAGGGGCCCGAGCGACTCACACCAGGACGAGCGGCCCGACCGACTCACACCACGAGGAGCCCGAACGACTCACACCACGCCGCGGGCCCCGAACGACTCACACCACGAGGAGCCCGAACGAGTTACACCAGGAGGAGGGGCCCGAACGACTCACACCAGGATGAGGGGCCCGAACAACTCACACCACGAGAAGCCCGAACGACTCACACCAGGACGAAGAGCCCGAACGACTCACACCACGAAGAGCCCGAACGACTCACACCAGGAAGAAGGGCCCGAACGACTCACACCAGGACGAGAAACCCCAAACGACTCAAATCACGAGGAGCGCTTGCTCTCCCTCCTCCTCCGCCTCGTCCTTCTCCCGCTCCCCCCACAAGGAGGATGTACAAGGAGGCGGGAGGAAGGCGGAACAGGGGAGATATGCGGGGCCACGCGGACACACGCCTGAAAAACACGACTGTCGGCATGCTTCGCAAGAGTTGCTGCTGTGAGATGGGCTGGTGGGGATACGCGAAGCGTAAAGAATTCTTACATGGATGCTGAGACTCGCGAGCGGCGGCCTGCCAGTGTGGCCGGGCAGGCAGAAGAAGCATGCCGAACCACTGCGCGGCTGGCGTCTCGACGTGTGCCGGAGGGCCCTTAAATATGGCGTGCTTCTGGGAGAAGCGCCGGGACTCGACTTTCGGAGGTCCGCACGGACTTATTTGATCCGCACTGGGAACCCTCCCTGGCACGCGGAGCGCGCCAGGGGCAGCACCAGAGGCGCCTCCAGGGGAGCCCAACATCGATCCAAGAAATCCGCGCGGAACTCCGAACGTTTCTGTTTATGCAAGTTCTTCTCCGAAGAATGTATAGCGCTTGGGGCAAGCATCGGCTGGCAACAAACTGCAACACTCGCCAACGCGCCAACACCTCGTCGTCGGATTCCAAAGCCCCTCTCCCAGGAGCGCGGTCCGTCAAGTTTCGAGGGGCGCGAAAGCCCCTCAGGGGGGGGGGGGCAGGGGGTCACCTGCTTCAGAAATGCCCCCAGATCCGCTCAAATGGCCCAAATGATTCCAGATGGACTCCCCGATCGCGCAAGATGGTCAAAACTCAAACTTCTCCCCGACTGGCCCACCAGCACGTGTCCAAGAGGCTTGAAGACGCCCCCAGGTCGGCTCCACGTGGCCACAAGGCTGCCCAAGAATGCCCCGAAGAGGCCCAAATCATTGTGTCAAGCACGTTTCTGTATGGCTATGCGTACTCGCCCATTCTGCCTTGAAGGCGTTCACAACAGCCCAGGTCGCCCCAAGACGGGCCAAACTGGTCCCACAAGGGAACCAAGGCGACCCCAAAGGCCCCAAGAGACATTGACGCGCACAAGAAAATTAACGCTCGCTCGACGTTCCCCGGGAATAAATGTGCCAAACATTTGCGCTCATCCATTCTGCGGATCACTGCTTAATCTGCAATCTGAATGACGTGCCGCATAAACCGCCACCCTCCGGTGATTTTCGCGTGCACAGTCTTCCGGGTCTGTCGGAGGCGCGGGCTCCGAAGTAGTGAACACCCCCCACTGCCTGGTGTGTATGTTTGAGCTTGTGTGCTCCAAGTTCGGGGGGCACAATGACATCCACTCGCTCCCCGCTGAACAAACACCACGCTTCTCGCGCCGCTGCTCGCCTTACGCTGGCTCCCACCTGTCCAAAACCAGAAATCGCATCCAGAGGGAACGTGCGTCGGATCGGGCTGCATCGGGACGGAACCCAGATCGACCCAGATCGGCTGAGGCTGGGATGCGCAACAACGCCGCGCAAACATCGGTGAACATCGGAGCGTCGGAATGTACATACGCTTCTGGAACTCAACGTGTCGTTTGTTCGGTCGGCATCGGATCCCCGGGGCGGCGCCCGAGACGCCGCCAGAGGGACCCAACGCCATCTACGGTACTCCGCAGCTTGACAAAAATCTCCCCACAGTCGGGCCGCTGAAATCAGGAACGCTGAATAAGGAACGAAGCCTTCGTTCACGAGTAGGGCCCAAAGACCGCGTTCGTCAACGAAGAGCTCTGAGGGCCCAAAGACCGCGTTCTTTCACGAGGAGGGCTGGAGGAACAGCCATGGAAGGACCTGAGGAACATCGAGCCCCTTCCGAACCCAAACTGTTCCTTGTGTCGGCGTCTTGACTATACTCCTCCCTGCCCCTGGCTCCCCCCGCTCCATGAATCCTCCCGACCTCCGTCCTCCCCCTCCCCCTCCCCCCCCCCCTCATTCACCCCTCGTCTTCCCGCTTCCTCCTTTCCCTCCAGCTCCGCATCCTCCGCCTCTCCCCTCCTCCCTCCTCCCCGTTCCTCCCTCCTTCACCTCCTTCCCTTCCCCTCCTTCTCATGTCTTTGCTTCAATTGTCGTTCGAAAAAAGGCGGAGGAGGAGAGAGGAGGGGGAAATTCACGATATCCGATGCCGTAAAGCACATACACACAACACACAACACACAAAGACACAGACAGACAGACAGACAGACAGACAGACAGACAGACAGGCAGGCAGGCAGACAGATAGACAGACATACAGACACACAGACAGACAGAGGCAGAGGCAGAGGCAGAGACAGACACACAGACACAGACACAGACAGACGGACAGACAGACAGACAGACGGACGGAAGCACAGACATACACGGTCGGTCAGTCAGTCAGTCAGTCAGTCAGTCAGTCAGTCAGACAGACAGACAGACAGACAGACAGACACACACACACACACATGAGCCCCCGACCATTTCGTGAGGATCCTTGGGCCTGAACGGGGCAGAAACGCGAGTCGTGATCTTTCCTGCGGCCCCCAAATCCGCCGACCCTGTCGGCGTGTGGAAGAGGCTTCTCCGTCTGTTCCCTCTTCGTCGTCGTCGTTCCTTCCCCTTTCCCCACAGCGTCGTTGCTTCTACCCCTCTCCCAGGGCCTCCTCCTGAAGCGTGCCAGTCCAAAGCGAAATTGAGCAACGTCGTAATTGAGTCGAAGGGAAACCCCTTCCCTTTGATCCCTTCCCAGCCCGGGGGGGGGGGTCCCCGGGGGGGGTCCCGGGTTTTTACCCCGCCCCCCCAAGGAATCCCGGAGCCCAAAAAAGCCCCAAGACGGGCCAAGAGTGCCCCAAGAGGCCCCCAAGACGATCCAAGAGGGCCCCGAATCGCCGAATGAACTGTCCAAGACGCCTTGACGGCCTCCAGACGGCTCAAGAGGCCTGCGAGACGCCCCAAGAGGCCTCCAGGACCGTTCCCACGAGAGCCCCAAGAGGCAAAAATCATGGATTTCCCATACGTTTTTCAAGAATTTTGGCGTTCTGGCATCTTCCGCTTAAGACGGCCCAAGAGGCCCCCAAGGTCGCCCCGAGACGGTCCAAGAAGCCTCCAAGAGAGTCCCCAAACGGCCCAAGAGTGCCCCAGGACGGCCCAAGACGCCTCCAAGACGGCACAAGAGGCCCCCAAGAGGGTTCCAAGAGAATGCCCAGACGGGGGACCCGAACGGACATGTCGAGCCCTCAGCCCCGAGAAGCCCCCAAGAGGCTCCCAGGAAGCCCAAAGACGCCCCAAGAGGCTCCCAAGAGGCCCCCAAACATCCCCCCAGAGGCCCCCGAGAGCGCTCGGAAGAAACCCCAAGAAGCACGTTTGAGGACTCAACCCACGTCAGCATCGTCGTCGTCGCTACCGCCGCCGCCGCCGTCGTCGTTCCCCTTCAGGGTCGGCGGCACCGGCCGCAAGGCCTTCGCAATTTGAAGACTGTGAAGTCCTCGGACCCCCTTTGGAGGTTCCTAAAGATCCGTGAATCTGGCGCGCGTGCGCCAGATCCACGGATCGGGGGACTTGCCATCGCTCGGACGTCCATTCCCAATGCATGTTTGCGTGTTCGCGCGTGATTTCCTTGTTGCGGGCGTGGCCCGAATTTGTTTCTCGTGAGGTAAACGGACTGAACTGACATGAACTGAACTGAACCGAACAGACTGGTCACACCCGTTACGCGACGGATTTAATCTCGTCCGCCAAGGGCACATTCTATGGCGCAACCGTTACGTCCGCCAAGGGCACAACCTATGACGCAACCGATGGGAGACGGTGTTATTCTCGGCCACCGAGGGCGCAACCTATGGCACAACCGGTAAGAGACGGTCTTATTCTCAACCGCCGCGGCGCAACCTGTGGCACAACCGATAGGAGACGGCTTTATTCTCGGCCGCCGAGGGCGCAACCTATGGTACAACCGGTAGGTGGCGGTTTTATTCTCAACCGCCGAGGGAGCATCTATGGCGCAACCGATCGGAAACCGAGCTGGAGCAGGATGAAGACGAGGAAGACGAGGAGGATGAGGACGAGTAGGAGGACGACGACGACGATCAGGATGGGGAGGAAGACGGGGAGGCATACGAGTAGTACGAGGACGAAGTGTCGGCATTCGAAATGCGTGTGGGGCTACGCCCGAGTTCTGCTCTCCAATTCGGCTGGCGGTGGGGCCCAAGCGGCGAGCTGTCTTGTGACTTGGAGAGATGATCCGAGATGACCCTGGACGGCCCCCGCCGTAGAACCTAGGGCTCCCAACTTCGCGCTTCGCGCTGCGCGAAGCGCGAATAACTTCGCGCTCTCGCGCCGCCCTCCCAAAGGGAGAATAGGAGGACGAGGAGGAGGGGGAGAAGGAACGAGGACCGCGAAGCGCGAATAACTTCGCGCCCTCGAGGGCGCCCTTGTAGAACATGCGCACGTCCGAGCGATGCTTAGGGGAAGGTGCCCCCCCCGAAACACGAGGCCGTCGCCACCTGACCTGGCGACGCAGCGCGCCGACGCTGCACAGAAGCCGCGAATGTGCGCGCCGCAAGTCCATGCCTGCGCTGGCCCGTCATCGTCATCGTCGTCGTCATCGTCCTCGTCGTCGTCGTCGTCGCCGTCGTCGTCGTCGTCGTCGTCGGCGGCATCGTCGGCATCCCAAACGCTCGATCCTCGATGCCTCGGGCCTCCAGGGTCACCCACCTTCGCGCCCCGCGCCCCGCGGTGCGCGACCCTCGCAACGGCCCCCTGGGCGAGAGGTAACCCTCGGGTCCAGGCCGCGAGCCGCGATCATCTTCACGCCCATGACCAGGGGGTGCCCCCAGAGAACTCCTCTCCCCCACGGCCACGGAACAGGACGCTGATCGCCAGGAAGCGCCAGAAGCGCGGCTGTCCCAGCACCTCCTGCGCGGCCGCGGTCGTGACGCGAGGGGGGAGGGAACTGGGAGCAGGAAGAAGAGACGGCTGGGGATGAGAGAAGAGGCGTATGGCATAGGCATAGGCATACACGTGCATGGCCTAGCGTCATGTCTGAAGGGCGCTGCGGCCGTCAGAGGAGGTGGATGAGGAGGAGGAGGGAGGGAGGGAGGAGGATGGAGGAGAGATGAGGAAAAGTGGGCAGAGAAGGGAGGAAGGAACAGGAGGAGGAAAGAGGAGAGGGCAGGTGAGAAGGGAGAGGAGGAGGGAGGAAAGAGGGGAGGGGGAAAGAGGACGTGGAGGAGGGAGGAGGTTGGGAAGACGAGGAGGAGGAAGAGGAGGGAGAGAAGGAGGCGGGATGGGAAGAGGAGGAGGGGAGCAAGAACGGACGAGCTTTCTCACAGGATCCCAAGGGGGTGTCGCCAGCGCTCCCCCGCTTTCCCCTCTGCTTCTCCCTTTCCTCCGCCTGCACCTGCCCTTGCGCATGCATAGGAGCCGACTGGCGTGTTAACGCCAGGAACGCAATCCCAAATCAAGAACTCCTATTAAATCCAAACTTTTGTTCGCGAAGCCGCTTGAGATCTCGGCCGAACCGTGTCCCGAACCATATCCCGGTCCCCCTCCTTCCCCTCCCCCTGCTTCCCTCCTTCTCGCCTGCCATACGCTTCAAATATATCCATCCGTTCCCATGATTGGAGGCCGTTGAAATATCCACCCGAGAGGGACGTGTCGGCGGCGGTGCCACTACGTAGGAACGCATGTGATACAAGCGTTGAACGTCCTCCTCCTTCTCCCTTTCGCCCCTTCCAATCCCTCTTCGACCCGCTTCGCGCCGCAAAGGTTCGTCCATAAACAAACAACCGCAAGACTTCAACTCACGCTTAACTTCGCTTAACTATAGAATCCGCCAGCCCCAATTGCCAGAAGGTGTGCGAGCTGTTTGATTGTCACCGTCCACCTGGTGACCGCCCCCACGTGGTCCACAGACACGATTGAGGGGGCGAGCTCGTCAACGCATATCCAGGGACGATGGATCCTCCAAGATGGCCCGCACCCCCCTCGAGCCTCCCACAGTGCCAAGCCAGCAGTACCGCTGCGCAGACGCCTGAAACAATGTGTAGACTTACACACATACCTACCTACCTACCTACCTACCTACCTACCTACCTACCTACCTACCTACCGACCGACCGACCGACCGACCGACCGACCGACCGACCGACCGACCGACCGACCGACCGACCGACCGACCGACCGACCGACCGACCGACCGACCTACATACATACATACATACATACATACATACATACATACATACATACACACACAGACAGACAGACAGACAGACAGACAGACAGACAGACAGACGTACGTACATCCATCCATCCATACATACACACATGTAATCTATGCTATATATACACTGAGAGAAAGAGAGAGGGATAGAGAGAGAGGGAGAGCAGACACAAACAAGCACAAACAAAGAGAGAAAGAGAGAGAGAGAGAGAGAAACAAAAAACGCGTTTCGTGGACGCTTGCCTGGCAACAAGAAACTTGACACGTTGGAACTAGGCCACCACCACCCCAAACACATTGAGCATCCCAAGGGAGCAAGGGCGCCCCCGCCCCAAAACCACCGACCTCCCTAACCGGGGGGGGGGGGGCACCGAAAATGGAACCAATTACAACCAACGACGACGGATTCCAACAATGCCAGTACCAATCACAAACAAGTGGCACCAATTCCATCCGCTGTAGAAGCTCTTTAGAAGTTCCTGACAACGTTCCTTGGAGGTCCCTAATAGTTCCATCGAGATCCCTGAGGATTCCTGGGGGATCCCCCGTGATTCTTGAGGATTCTTCCAGCATCCCTCGCGATTTCTGAAGACCCCCCAGGAATTCACCCGGAATTCTTTTTGATTCCTGGGGAATTCTTTTGGAATTCCGACAGACAATTTCGCGAATCCTGGTGGGTTCCTGATGGGTTCCAGACGGGTTCCTGATGGATCCCGAATGGTTTGTTGATGGATTACTGCGTATACCGCATCCTGGAATAATCCTCATAGATTCCTGATGGATTCCTGACAATTTTAATTGGCTTTCTGATGGGTTCCCGGTGTGTTTCTGATGGGCTCCTGAAGAGAAAGAGGAGAAGGATGAAGAGGGGGAGAAGGAGGAAATGAGAAGGAAGAGAAGGAGGAGGAGGAGGAGGAGGAGAAAGACATTGAGGTGGAGGGGGGGACGGAGTAAAATGAATAGGACCACGAGGAAGAGGAGGGGGAGGAGGAAGAGGAGCAGGAGAAGGAGGAGGTGGAGGAGAAGGAGGAGGAGCAGGAGAAGAAGGACGAAGAGGAGGAAGATGAAGAGGAGATGGAGGATTCGTGTCCGACGCCGCGGTTCGGTGGCGCGGGCGCGGGACTCGCAAACCCCCGAAGGCGACGTTTCCAATGCAAACGGTTCGCGCCCTCGGGGCACTGGGGAAACCACGGACCCATGAGGAGGGGGAAGGAGGCCGACCGGGTCACTTTGCCCCCCGATGACATTGCCAGGTCGTTCGGCCCCCGCTTCATGTCAAGCGGGCGCGGGATTGCCCGACCCCCCGAAGGCGACGCTTCCCATGAAACCGTTTCGTCCCATCGGGGTCTCGGGGAAGGGGGGGGGGGGGCAAAACCAATGGGGGGGAAGACGGGTCAAACGAGTCGCCATGCCCTCCGCCGCTGCCGACGAATCGTTCGGACCCGCGCCCCTTCCTGCGACGCGGGTCTCTTCAAGCCCCCGAAGGTTTCAGTGGAAACGACGGAGAGGGGTGCCGAACGGTCACTTTGCCCTCCGCTGACGTCGCCGAGACGTTCGGTCACCGCTTCCTTCCTTGCGGGCGCGGGATTCTCCAAACCCCCTGGGGCGACGCTTCCAATGGAAGCGTTCTGTGCCCTCGGGGACTCGGGACGCCCCCGAACCCATGGGGGGAAGAGGGTGGCTGAATGAGTTGCCTTGCCTTCCGCCGCCGCCGCCAACTCGTTCGGGATGCTCGGACAACCATCTTTCCTGCTCCGATTCGGGAAGCCTGGATGTGGGGAAACCAAGAAGTACCGACACCGCTACTCCCCGGACCTCTCCCAGAGCGCGTTCTGACCAGGGTTTCGGGGCGAACCCAGTGGTGGCGACGAGGGCCTCCCAGGAGGCCCCCCAGCAAGCGGATAACGGGCGAAGGGTAGAGGCAGGGGTGACTTTTTCCTCCTCTGAGAATGAGGGGAGGGGGGGGGGAGGTGGAGGAGGCAGAGGCCGAGGACGAGCGCAGCGAGGAGGCAGGTGGAGGCATGGCGCACGGGGTGGAGGGCACATCGCGCCGCGAGCCGCGCCGCGAGGGCGGCGCAGACGGGCCCTCCTTCGAGATGTTGTAGCCGGAGGAGGTCCTCGGGACGAAGGTCTCCACGCTGCCGTCTCGCGCACCGCGGGGAGAGGCGGGCGCTGGAGGTGCACCACGAAGATCTACACACGACGCCCTCCAACGAACTCTGCATGTACTCTCGGGGAGGACTGCGGCCTATAAAGCCGCTGGCTCCCAGTGGTGACTTACACACCGCCACCCGCCCTGGAGGCCCAGGAAAGCTCCATTCGAGGGCGTCCGTGTGTATACTCTCGCGGCGGAGGAGGGCGCATGGTAAAGGGAGCCCGAGAGACGGAGCACTCCCCCTCCGCGCCCGCCTCCCCGTCATCCTGCCGTCGCTCGAACGTCCATTCCCCGTGCATGTCTCGTTTTCCTGCGCTTCTATTCCGCGCGATGATGCAGGATGCCCCCCGCGTGGGTCAACTCTCTATGTCCACGGACGCGTGTCATGGCGGACCTGTTACTGCCAAACCGATCCCTTATCGTGTTATGCGCAGTCGGACATTGAGAAGTGTGTACGTTGGAGGACGAGGAGGGGGAGGAGGAGGAGGGGGAGGAGGAGGAGGAGGAGGAGGAGGAGGAGGAGGAGGAGGCGGAGGAGGAGGAGGAGGAGGAGGAGGAGACGGAGACGGAGGAGGGAGAGGTAGCGGATGAGCAGGAGGATGGCTTTCCAAAGGGTTGTCCCAACCTGACTTGGTCAGAGCTGGAAGGGGACGTCGAACAGTGGCCTCTCGGGGAGGGCCTAAGCTGGCGTGCCCTCCCCAGCCCTGCCTGGCGGGCCCCGCGGGCGTCCGCTGGTAAGTGCCAGGAAGGGGAGAGCACACACCAGCTTGGCACCTCGGCCACCCTATCTGAGACGGCGGCCACTCGCTACACGTGATGATAACGCAAGTCCCCATACTCGATGGGTGTTCACCACTGCGACGCTTAGATACACTCCTCCGAAAGGCGTCTGAGGTGCCTCCTGTCAACGTGAGCTCTGCATCCGCACGCTGAACCAGCACAGTAAGGTTCATAACACTTTTAAGTGTGGGTCGGGTGGCCAAGCCTCGTTCCCGCCACTGTAAGCTGATGCTGGGGCTGCTCACGGGGGGGCCCTGGCACTTGGACGTCAACCAATCATTCAAATGCTTCTCACCTGCAAGCTTACTGGCAGAGCGTTGGCAACATCTGCATGACCCTCTGGATGTCAAATCTGAAAGCTGATGGTTGGTTATGCACTGGGCCTGGGCGACAGCACTGGGCCTAGATCTTCTCTGGGCTTTCCTGCCGTGCCTCTCCGAAGATCCGGGAAATTCAACTATCCAACGCGTTGGAAGTAGCTCTCGAGATCCTACTGCGAATTCTGCACCCTGTGGAGACGGCCCATTCGTAGCAACTCAATATGGCTTCAGGGATGATGTGAGCACTGGCTGTTTTTTCCCCACATGGTTCGTGGGGTTGTGGTTTGCTTCCCTGCCGCGGCGCACCCGCATCCCACCTCACCTCACACCTCATCTCCTCTCTCCTCCTTCCTCTCCTCACCCGCGCTCAACGCGTGCACGGCGTGGGGTTCTGGTTGCCCACATGCTTCGTGGGGTTATGGTTGTCTTCCCTTCCGCGTCTCACCCGCGTCTCCTCCTTCTCCTTCTCCTCCCTCTCCTTCTCTTCCCTGCCGCGCCGCACCCGCGCTCATTCACCTCACTCGGCTCAGCTCAGCACGGCACGGCACAGCACAGCTCGGCTCAGCTTCGCTGAGTGCGCAGAGGGTGGTTTCCCTATGCGTGCCAGGGTCGTCCAGGCATTGCAGGCGTGGCATTTTCTCGACACCAGAGGGGGTGCGCAGGGGGTGGTCTCCCTATGCGTGCCAGGGTCGTCCAGGCATTGCAGGCGTGGCATGTTCTCGACACCAGAGGGGGTGCGCAGGGGGTGGTCTCCCTATGCGTGCCAGGGTCGTCCAGGCATAGCAGGCGTGGCATTTTCTCGACACCAGAGGGGGTGCGCAGGGGGTGGTCTCCCTATGCGTGCCAGGGTCGTCCAGGCATTGCAGGCGTGGCATTTTCTCGACACCAGAGGGGGTGCGCAGGGGGTGGTCTCCCTATGCGTGCCAGGGTCGTCCAGGCATTGCAGGCGTGGCATTTTCTCGACACCAGAGGGGGTGCGCAGGGGGTGGTCTCCCTATGCGTGCCAGGGTCGTCCAGGCATAGCAGGCGTGGCATTTTCTCGACACCAGAGGGGGTGCGCAGGGGGTGGTCTCCCTATGCGTGCCAGGGTCGTCCAGGCATAGCAGGCGTGGCATTTTCTCGACACCAGAGGGGGTGCGCAGGGGGTGGTCTATGCGTGCCAGGGTCGTCCAGGCATAGCAGGCGTGGCATTTTCTCGACACCAGAGGGGGTGCGCAGGGGGTGGCTCCCTATGCGTGCCAGGGTCGTCCAGGCATTGCAGGCTAGTTTCTCGACACCAGAGGGGGTGCCAGGGGGTGGTCCCCTATGCGTGCCAGGGTCGTCCAGGCATAGCAGGCGTGGCATTTTCTCGACACCAGAGGGGGTGCGCAGGGGGTGGTCTCCCTATGCGTGCCAGGGTCGTCCAGGCATAGCAGGCGTGGCATTTTCTCGACACCAGAGGGGGTGCGCAGGGGGTGGTCTCCCTATGCGTGCCAGGGTCGTCCAGGCATTGCAGGCGTGGCATTTTCTCGACACCAGAGGGGGTGCGCAGGGGGTGGTCTCCCTATGCGTGCCAGGGTCGTCCAGGCATAGCCTCTAGTGCGGGATTGCGTATTATCTCTCGTATCCAAGTGCCAGGCGACGCCGGATATGACCGTCACAGATGACTCCTCAACCCCTCCTATCCCCCCACACGTCCTCCCCCTCCTTTCAACGACCACAGGGGGCACCTGAGAGCATGACGGCGGTGGTAGTGGTAGCGCGTTTCACACAATACATAAAATCAGTATGTGGGGTTCCTCGGTAGCGTAATCCCCGCGAGCTCGTCTGCAAGTGGGTCCCCCAACCAAGCTGCGAGCGGCACTCCTCTGACCTGGGCCTCTTCCCAGGCATGGTGGCTGTGCAGGAAGAAAGCTGTGACCTACGCCTCGCCTCGCTACCTGATAGCGATGGCCATCTGCTCCCAACAGGTCGCCGTATACGCTCCAACCTCCTGGTGTTCGGCATCTGCCTCGGAACCAGCCCTCGTATAGCACCTCCGAGCCCGTCCAGAAATGCAAAGGGCCTTCCGCGTGGCGGAGGGCAGGCAGCAAGGCCGTTACCTCAGCACGGGTGTTTGTCTGACGGGGTTCTGCCAAGGGTCCGTCAGCACCTCCTCGGATCTGGGGTTCTCCTGGCTGGGTAGTGTCGAGGGCGGCCCAGCTCCATCCGCAGCGCGTGTACCTAGCGTCGTCTGCCTCATCAACTCCACTGCCATCTCCACATACCAGCAGACGTTCTCCTCGAACTGAGATGCGGTGTTGGTTCAGCGCTTCGCCGAAGAGCGTCTCAGAAGTTGCCCATGCTTTGGGAGGAATGCCTCTGAACCACATGCTTGGGGAACTATGCTGTACCGCCTCGGCCATGAACAGGAACTCCTGCGATTTCTCGAAGTCTGGATGCTCAGGCACACGCTGCACGCGCCACGCGCAACAGCACGCGCACGCGCACGCGCAACGCGCACGCGCACACGCACACGCACGCGCACAGCGCAAGGCGCACGCGCACGCCTCACGCGCACGCGCACGGCGCACGCGCACGCGCACGCGACACAGCACGCCACCTGGATCTCACGCCACACAGGCGCAGCAGCACGCGTGCACACGCGCGCGCACACGCGCACGCGCGCACGCGCACGCGTACGCGCACGCGCACGCGCACGCGTCTCTCGTCACACGTCACGCGTCACGCGTCCCGCGTCACGCGTCACGCGTCACGCGTCACGCGCCCGCGCACGCGCACGCGCACGCCGCACGCCGCACGCCGCACGCGCGCACGCGCCGCGCGCCGCACGCCGCACGCGCACGTGCATGCGCACGCGCACGCGCACGCGCACGCGAACGCGCACGCGTACGCGCACGCGCACGCGCACGCGCAACTCGCACGCGGCAAGCGCACGCGCACACGCGCACACGCGCACACGCGCACACGCGCACACGCGCACACGCGCACACGCGCACACGCGCACACGCGCACAAGCGCACACGCGCACACGCGCACACGCGCACACGCGCACACGCGCACACGCGCACACGCGCACACGCGCACACGCGCACACGCGCACACGCGCACACGCGCACACGCGCACACGCGCACACGAGCACACGCGCACACTCGCACACGCGCACACGCGCACACGCGCACACGCGCACACGCGCACACGCGCACACGCGCACACGCGCACACGCGCACACGCGCACACGCGCACACGCGCACACGCGCACACGCGCACACGCGCACACGCGCACACGCGCCCACGCGCCCACGCGCCCACGCGCACACGCGCCCACGCGCCCACGCGCCCACGCGCCCACGCGCCCACGCGCCCACGCGCCCACACGCCCACACGCCCACACGCCCACACGCCCGCACGCCCGCA